GTTATCTTAAAATATTGCATCTTTGAAATTCGATCCGAGCAGGCAAGCAGGGCGGCAACATACGAGGTGGGAACGATATTATCTATATTATGGAGTGGAGTATAATTCAATGATGTTATTTAATTTCGTAACGTAATATTACATAATGTGGTATATAATAATAACAATAAACGTTTAAAGAGGAACAACTCAAAAGGATAATTGTATAAAAAATGTTCATGCTTTTCGTAAACATTAATAGAGAAAAGTAGATAAATTGCTAAAAAATAGATTGATAACAGGCATCAGCCAAATATAGCTAAATAATACATGGGGTCCAAATATCCCGTCGACATAGAAGTAACATGTATGTTTAGACTCAAAATAAGTCGATTGGACATGATTAACCTCTATTCAAAAGTACTTCATTTACCGTTAGAAGGCGTCTAACGCGTATTAGTTCTTTAAGTGTAGTTAGAGAAAATGAACAAGTATGATATTATTTATTAAAATTTTATTTAATGCAGGCAATAACTCGAATCTTTTATAATAATTAGTAATTATAATAATAATAATAACCATCTTTATTACGGGTGAAGCTTAGCGTAGCGCTTATCTGCCACTTAAAGTACAAAAAATTAATAATATATATATATCAATGTTAACAAAAGTAATAAGTTGTGTATGAGTTTTGCGAAGTGACAGGTCAAGAAAGCAACTGATTCAAGTATGTTTATCCAAAATAAATATTTTAATTTCTTTTATAAATTTTTCATAAGTTAGCAATTTTATAGCTTGTGGAAGTTCGTTATAGAAAATAACTGCGTTGTATGTGAAGCATTTACAAAAGAAGGCTGCCTTGTGGAGAGAAATTGTGAGTGTGTTCGCAAATCGAATGTCTCTTGTGTGAATATAACTCCTAGGTAACAAAAATGGAGGAATGGCTGTGATCTTATGGGTATAAGTGAGTATGTGGAACTCATATAGTGCTTTTACTCTCAACCATTTCATGTCTCTAAAATAAGTGCTGATATGATCATACTTTCTCAAGTTATTGATCAATCTGCAACAGGAATTTTGAATTCTTTGGAGACGCATGAGGGAAGTGGAGTCTAAAAATGGAGCATAAACTATATCACAATACGTAATTTTAGACATGATCAGAGATTTGCACAAAATTTTGTTGGAATGGGAAAACAATTTTTGGTTATATTATTTACATGTGTTATGAATTTGAGACACTCATCAAATATGATACCTAGGTTTTTAGTTGATTCACTCACCTCAATGTAGTCACAATTTGAATTTATGTTAAAGCTTCTTTTCGCATCATTTCTAAATGGTTAGGTAAAAGAATAATGACTTGATTTGACGGGTTCAACTGAAGATTATGATTCTTTGCAAACGTACTGATAGATTTTAGATGATCATTGAACTCAGATACAGCAGTTAAAAATACTGCAATGTTTAACATCGGCATTAAGATCAGATATATATATATATATATATATATATATATATATATATATATATATAATGAATAATAGTGGTCCAAGTACAGACCCTTGTGGTAAAGAAATGAGACATTTTGAAGATAAAGATATATCAATGCTTACCCTGTGAGATCGATTTTGTAAAAAGCCATTAATCAAATTAACAGAAGAATTAGAGAAACCAAAATATTTACCGTTTGTAACTAAGAGAGATTTATGATATCAAATGCTCAGAGAAGTCTAGCAAAACTAACGACGAGACCGTTACTGATCACAGGCTTTCACTACATTATCAGTTAAGTCTATTAGCGCACCTGCAGTACTAAACCCTTTTGGAAAGCCACATTGTTTGGAAGGCAATATTTGAGATTTTGATAGGTAATGAGTAATTTGAATATTTGAATGTAGGTACATTGCTTTCTCTAGTAGTTTGGATACAAGTAGTACGGGCAAAATACTGATGGGTCTTAAATCGGAAAATGTGTCTGGTTTATTTATTTTAGCGATAGGTAGTACTAACGCTTCCTTCCATGATTCGGGAAATATCCCCTTTGCTAAACATGAATTGACGATAATATGCAAGATATGATATGAAATTACAGGAAAGCATAGTTTCAGCATACTCAGAGATACGCCATCGCTTCCTAAGGCAGTCGATTTTAAGGATAGAAATATCGATTTTAAATCAAGCAAGTCGATTTGATTGAAACTGAATCGATCATCAGAGTAACGATTTTTTCCATAATGCTCAATCATTTCAGTGCATGAAGAAATGGTGTTGTTGAAATCTGAGCAGAAGTAACTATTGATCTCAACTGCATAGATTTAAAGGCTTTGTCAAAAATGTTTGAATTGTTTTTTCGACGGAGGGATGATAGATAGGCTGTCTTCTCACATCTAATTCTTGCTAATGTTGAATTGCTAAGGTTTTTTATAGCGATTCCAAAATTCTTCAGTCTTATCAATTTTAAACTGTGTAAGAGATCTATCCCTATATTTCCTCATATGTTTAATTTGTGATGTGAGTCAGGCTGCACGTGGCTTATTTACATGTACGATTCTTAGTGGCGCATGTTTATCGAAAATATGTTTTAGTTCATCGGTTAAATATGAAATTTTATGATCAATGTGACCCCCATTTTCGTTCCTGAACATAACAATTTTCTCTAAGATGTCATTTTTTTTAAATGTATTTGCAGCATTGTGTAAATGAAGATACCTATCTCCGTTTAACTTATCAGGCAACCTATATGGACCAATCAAAAAGTTACCTTCAGAAACTGCATGTGTATTTTCTTCTCCGTAAACCTGTGTGGAATTTTATCATACCACGTCGGGTAAAACATGACCTATCTGCAAACAAAATGGAATGGAATGACCTATCAGCTGCTCTGCGTACTGATACATTTTGTACAAATGTACATAAATTTAGCAGACGATTCTTTGAGTAATTCTGAGACAAAAAGTTTTTATCATCATAGTTTTGCAAATCCTTCAGGTACAGGGTGTTGAATATCCTTTACCTAAATTTGTTGTGATTAGGCGATGGTATTTATAACGTTAAGGAGCTAATTTTAACTTGATTAAATTAATTAAGTCCAGTTGCACCTCGAGCGGGATCTGAAACAATATTTGTGACAATGAAATGTACGCCAATGAATTTTGTGCAATTTTTATTATGTTCTTTGGATTAAGCATTCCGTCGTGCATGTACCACATACAGAATCTTTCCATGACTGGAACTTCTTCTAAAAGTCCATGTAAAACATATTCTAAAAACCTTTTCCATTGAGTCTAGTCCGTACATGCAACGACCTGTAACGTTATTTGAATCGCTGTAAGTAATTTTCCTTAAATAGTTCAACCTCCTTGTTCAAAATTGCAGCCTTAAATAGTTATAAAGGTATAATGGTTTTTTATATGTAGGGGAAGTACGTCCAAAATGACATCGTTTTATTAATCATCAATAACTTTATTATTATTCATAATAGGAACATATTTTTTTCTTAAAACTTTGCTTATATTAATTGGTTAACAGGAATCATATAGATTTTGTCAGAAAAATCAACACTTTCAAAAATATTTAGTATTAAGTGAAGATCAGGAAAAATCCGTTTTGTCCATACCGTATGGACTAAATGACATACAGAGCCATCAACATAACAAAAATGATAAAATAAGAGATTACAATAAAAATTAATTACACAATTCGCACACAAATTTTTTGGTTTCGCTTTGGCAAATCAGCTCAGGCTGCGTGAACCCAACGACTGCACCGCCTGCACCTCAACCACCCCTCACCAGGCTTTGAACGTGAGTAGGGATCGCTGCAGTAAATACAGGCACAATCATCTTCTTCGTCGTCTTGATCAGATCGCTCTTCATCTGAGCCATCATTAATGTAAAGGGACTTAGTAACTGCTTGTTTCCTTTTACGAGTTGGTTTTTCAGCTGCAATATCTCGTTTGTACTTTAATTCTGCCATATTTGCTGATGATGTAAGTAGGAATGTTGTCGTTCGTTTCTTTGGCTTTGGTTTACCATGTCCACTTACAAATTTACCACTGGGAACTGGATAAATGACATTAACTGGAACAGCTAAAGAACTTGTCGATGCAAAGGAACTCGTGGATGGTTGGGAAATGTCTAACGGGTCAGTCAGTGCGTTGTGAATATCATTAGTGACTGCTATTGCGTCTGAAGAATCCGATGAAGTAGATGGTTTGCAGGAACTAGTGGATGGCTTTGATGAAGATTCAGGGGCCTTATTCTGTTCCTGGGCCATAATCTCGCCAGCCTCCGGTTCTATTGGCAACGATGGAAGGTTCTGATCCTGGATTAAGTCTGAGTTATCAGCTGTGGAAGCTATTGGCATATTTGTTGTTTCAGCTGGTTCAAAAGAGTGATCTGGAAATATGTCTGGATTAACTGGCCATAGTCCAGTGTTTTTGAAACCATTGCATGCAGTTTGAACTGAAGTAGACTTTCCATAAGCTTGAATAAATAAATATCCGATCTGAAGAGCTGTCACCACTCTTCCTGGATGATTTAAAAGCCAAACCGAAAACCCTTGGTTAAAATATGTATGTCTTGAGCGGTCCATAAAAGCGCACATCGACAGGCTGCATACGATGGGTGCAGTGTGGAGGAAGACAAACAATTTCGATTTCATTCTCCTTGGCAAAGTTCAAAGCTTCGAATGACTTATGGCTGGCATGGCCATCGACTTTATCGTTATGACTAGGTTTTACAAAGCTTTGAAAATGCTGGAGCCACTTCACGAAAATTTGTGGTGGTCATCCACCCACTTTCTTGAGCTACTCCTATCGTACCAGTTGGTGCTTCATCCACGAGCTGGTTTTTCATATTTTTCCTTGCCAAAATCATGAAAGGAGGTACATACGACCCAGCTGCGTTCATGCAACACACAGCTGTCACATTAGATACCCGGTCCGCGCTTGTGATGGCACCTACTTGCTTCCTGCCAGCGGTAGCCAGGATCTTTTGAGGTCTCTGGACAGTAGACAGCCCCGATTCGTCCACATTGTAGATCCGGTTTGCGTTTAATTTGTGTTTGTCTATGTATTCTTGATAGTTATCGAAAAACTTTCTTACTTGAGGTCTATTAAAAGCTTGGGCTCTAGCTGCGGAGGTAGGCTCCAGTTTTCGTAAAGATATGTCTTTATGGCGGTTTAAAAATCCATCTAGCTACTCCTGGCCAGCTTTACCCTTATCTTTATTAAAACTGTGTGAAAAGCCATTCTTTTCAGCCAATTCGAAAGCGAGTTCTTGGACTATTGTACGCGCTAATCCAGACATACGAGTTTCAAGTAGCTTAATGTGCTCAACCAATTGCCTCTCAATTTCAAGAGGAAATGTTAGCTGAAATCGGCCTAAACCTTTTGCTGCAGGTGCAACTGTTTTATTTTGCTGCAAACCATTCCACTTTAGTGTAGCTTGTGGCACTTTGAAGGTCTTAGAAGCCAGAAGCCAACCCACTTTTTCTCTTTAACAGCTTCAATAGCTTTTTTCATCTCTTCTTGACTCCATGATTGCCGATTACTTGTCCTCTTATAATTTCGGGGTATATTTCCATTCTGTAAATTAAAGGATTTATGTAGATTTACTTAAAAAAATTTCTTACCTCCATCTCTACGGACAAAATGACACATTATGTCGTTTTGTCCATAGTGGTTGTATATCATTTTGTACATAGCCTCAAAAAATATTACGATTCGAAGAATAATCTTGTTGCAGTGACAATGTTTTAAATTCTACGCAATCACCTCAAACACAAAATGCTTCGAAATATAAAATTATAGGACAGTAAAATAACAAAAGAAAACTTACCGAAAAACAAAAAACAAATGACCACTAACAAATTTCTTTCCAACCTCGAAACACAAATGTCAACATGGCGTCCGTTCTGTATTTTAAACGGCTCTCAAAAGTCCAATGGCATATTTCCGGTGTAGGTGCTTCTTGATTGGCTAACTTTTGACAGTTTAAACCGCGCAGTTTTTTAAATATCACTAATGTGTCGTTTTGTCCGTATATGTCATTTTGGACGTACAGTTGTATTCATAAAAAAAGCGTACACGAATTAGAATGAGAGGAAACCTTAACCTTATTTGCGTAAAACCGCCTTATCGCATGTTAAAGGTTATTAAAAATGCAAAGCATGGACGTCGGGCATTAGTTCAATACAGTAACAAAAATGTATTTCTTTATTTTACATCTTAACAGTTTTATAAAAATTACAATAGAAACAAAAAACGATTAACAAGAATAAATAAAATCTAATATTTGGTCATATATCCCTGTTTTTCTATTACTTGAGCCAGTCTATTCGGAATTGACTGAATTATATTTGATACAATATTTGGATCAAGCTCTTCCCAGCACGCATGTATTATTTCCCATAAATCTTCTGAATTTTGTGGCCTAAAATTTCGATTATATATTTTTTTTACGATTATACCCTAAATATTTTCGATTGGATTGATATCGGGACTATAAGCGACCCAAGGCAGCACTTCCACATTATGGGTTTGAAACCAGTGGGTTACAGCATTGGCCGTATGAACTGGACAATTATCTTGTTGAAATATGAACGTATTATTGGGATATATTTGCTCAGCACTTGGTAACAATATGTTTTATAAAATGTTAATGTAATTTCCGGCATTAAATCTTCCCTCTATTCGCCAGCAAACACCAGGTCCATGAACACTTATCCAGCCCCATACATTTACAGAGAAACGCCCAGATCTAGAATTGAGGGGGTTAGTATATCGCTCTTCAAACCTGGTATTGTTTGGACGGTAAACACGAATTTGGCCGTTATAAGTCGACTGGAACGTCTTTTCATCAGTAAAAATGACCCTGTTCCAAAATTGAGGATTGCGGTATATATAATTTAAAGCAAAAATAATCCTTGATTGTCGCCGTTCTTCGTTAAGAAACATTTTTTTCGCAGCAGGGTGACATTTTAGTTCAGATTTCATTACTCTCCTGCTGGCGGTAGGTTGGGAGGCAGGAAATGCTGTATCAATAACAGCATCCCTTACAGTTGCAAATGGATTATTTCTTAAATATCCCAAAAAAGCAGCATCCTGTTCAGGGTTGGTAAGTTTGGGACGACCTGAACCAATTTTCCTCTTTAGGGAATCTTCCTGTTCCCAGCGTTGCTTAATTTTCAATATGGTTTTTTTATTTCTATTATACAACTGCGCTACAGCACGGATTGACCATCCTTCTTCGATTCTTGATACAATTTGAGCCTTTTCAACTTCAGACAACTGACGAGGCATTTTTATTTTCTTCTGTCAAAGTTTATCAAACGTTACCACCACGCATTTTCGGAATGAATTACACCGACGTCAATGCTTTGCATTTTTGACAATCTACGACGTGTGATAACCTCCAATAAACAATCATTTAGACAAGCCGGTTTTACGCAAATAAGGTTAAGGTTTCCTCTCATTCTAATTCGTGTACGCTTTTTTTATGAATAGAACTGTACTTGTCCTATTGTATCAGCTTATACGAGTACAACATCGTATTGTATTGCAATTTAGCTTTTGAATAATATTTTAGATAACTCAAAAGAGCTAGTATAATCAGTTATCAAACATTGTTGACAAGATGTTTCCTCTTTTCTCCGTGAGCGCAAAAGAGGTCGTACATTCACAATGTACAATATTTTCTGTGCAAGCATATAAAAGACGGTTATACATTCCATGAAAGTAACTTCTGTTTGAACACACAAAGCTTCTTTCCCTCTTCCATTCAAAATATATCGCCTGCCCTGAACGTCATTCCGCATCCAATATCGTGCAACTTCGGAGCATAATGTCTCTCAACAAAGGGCCACCTCTAACGTGACGTGCGTGGAGCTATCGAGGCATTGAACCAAGGACTACTTACAAGTATCAGCACCATGTAAAGGGCACCCTACATCGACCTTCATGATTGTACAGAGATAATGGACAAACGATATTAATTAAGTAAAGGTCGTTCGGTACATGCAGGACGAAGTATTGGTCATGACCACGTGACGTTTTTAATCTAAATTGATGTACAGGGTGTCCCACTTCAATGTCCAAACCTAAACTATGCATCCTAGAAAGAAGTTTTAAACAAAAGATGTAGGGTTTCTAGGAAACAAAATCATGACCTTGACATAGATCTCGACCTTCGAGGCATTTTTGAGTTCGAGCAAATATTTTCAAATGGAACTCTTTTTTTCACATCGGATTTGAGATGATGAAGTTTTACATTCGAATCTGACCTTTATCATTTCCTTCAAAGTCACATTCATCTTAAGGTCAAATCAATACATCGAAAACCAAAATGTGTTCAAGGAAAACCCCTCATTTTTGTACTTGATTTGGAAAAAGCAAAGAAAAATGCATGATGTGACCTTGATCTCAAAGCCAAGCTTACGTCAAACTCTAATGGTATTTTTCAGGCAACCCCTTGATTTGTGCAAAGAGAACAAAGGGTTTTTTATCTGAACATGTAAACTCTAGATGAATTAACAAACATGAGTAAAATAACATTTAAACTTGATAAGACCTTGAAGATAATGGTCAAGGTCATCATCAAGGTCATCTTTTGCTAATTCCCGCCAAACCCCTCATTTTGGAGTCGAACACTTTTGTTGGAATTGCAAACAACAATTGAGCTTGATATAACCTTGACTTTGATGTCAAGGTCACATTCGGACGTAAAATTTTCTACTCTTCCTAATTCCACTATGAAAACGATAAAATGTTGAGTTGACCTTAAAGGTAATTGTCAAGGTAACGTCTGGATAACTCCCATAAACGTCACAACTGTGCCGACGAACAGTTTTATTAGGTCAAATTGTTTTAGACGTTTTGAGTTTTTGGTTTTGACCTTAAAGGTCATGTTCAAGGTCTTAATCGGACATAAAATTTCCTCCTTTTGCAATTCCGATGTAAATATAGGACAGTTCTGTTTGAAAATATCCAGCTGCGATTGATTTTTTCCAGAGGTGAAGGCCTTGTCCAATTTATACCCAAATACAGTGACATCTAGGTATGCTCTATTTAATACAAGTACGTCTCCCACTTGAAAACCCTAACATTCACGATTCAAGAAGTCATTATCATTGCCGAATCTAGACACTTTCTAGAAAAGCTTTGTAAACAAGGGCTTCGAATGGTGTATGGACTATTCGTAAACAGTACAAAAGGAATCCTTTATAATCTGGTTCTGATTTAACATTCTTTGCAATGTAATATATTTTGTTTAACGAAAACCTTAGCTTTGCAGACAATCGATAATCTTTGTAGATTTACAAATGCAGTAAGAGTAAGACATGTTCTTCAAAAGCTACCTGTCCTATTGAGTTTCTTTCATTCTCGAGCAACTCCTGCCAGATCAATTTCAGCATAAACATACAAAAATCAACTAACTCTGACGCTGTCCTAGTAAAGATCGTGGCAATGATCAGCGTGGCACCTCTCAACACCTTCCTACAAGGTGTTTTAACGAAATGTTTCTTTTAGTATACTAATTCTCCCTGTTTTTGGTATCAGAATTACAAAATAGGCTCATTCACCTTTTTTGCAAATCATGCAAACTTCATCCGCTTATTAATTTCTCAGAAACTAAAAGGATTGCTTTGGTCCCATGAACACTTTTGTTCGGGAAGGCAAGAAATATATCAGACTGAATTTTTAGGCAAATCGACTGAAATCCATTTTCTATAATATGGATATTTTATCGTCAAGACTAGCGCCCATAATGACCGTAGCCTAAACCGTAGAGTTTTGCATCTGTCATGCAAACCTCGTCTTATTTTTACAATTGAGTACTTTGGTGAACCAGTCGGTATTGGAAAAACATAGACCGTTCTTTGTCAACAAGCGGCATTTTTTAATTAACCACTTCAAGCGAGACAAACAATAATAATTATTCGACCCTGTTTACCAATGGTTGCAATCGTAATTGGATCAAAATGTGATTGAATTAGAAATGAATGTTGTTTGCGATTCTGTGATGAAGGTTAAAGGATAATGAAAACGTTCTGAGGGATTTTCCGATAAACCACGAGGCAGCATAAAAAATCGAGATCCAAGTATAGCGTTCGCTTATTTTTTCCACACAACAAGCATGCTGCGTTCCTGTGTATATTAATGGACTCGACAGCGGTGGTAAACGGCCTCGTTATTGGTTAGGCCAGGGAAACTGGAACATTTAGGGACAAAGAAACTCGATATTTTTGCAAGCAATTCAAGGAGGGTGGTTCAAATTTGATATTATTGCAAACATTTTGGGTCGGTGTTTCTAATTCGATTCTCTCCATTTGTTGTTTGTCAGGGTAAAGCTTTTATAGCCACTCCCAGGCAGAAAAGCTCAACTGTATTGCCCTTTCGGCCCTTCTTAACTGAAGTGTGATATTCTCCAGAAGCGGCTTACTCACTGAAAACCCTCAGTCGTGCAGCATTTCTTCGTAATGAGTAGCGTTGCGCAAGGTTTTCATTACCTCTTCATCATACATATATGTTCATACATTCGTACCTATTTATGTAAATAACGTGAACAACCGAGCAAGTAGGAACCTACTTTTGTTTTTTTGATTAATTTTTGTCCTCCTGTATATTGCTCAGCATCATCAGCCTCACACAACCCATTTGCCCTTGCTTACCTGCGTGTCAAAATTGTCAGCAGTGAGCCGCTCGCCGAGCGACAATTCCTCTGGTAGTCAACCCATCCACCACCATTGGTATCTCAGATTGGTAAAGGATACGAAATCTGTTAAATGGGGGCACAGTTGCGCATTTACGTAACTAAGACTTGGAAAGTTTCGAAATTCGGAAAAAATGTAATCTTACCAAAATCGTTTAGTTTTTTCCTGTCTTCATTTGAGACGGGGTGTGACAATAAATTGCACATTGTCACCTATTCTCCGCTACAAAGAGACCATAATCAAAATTTCAATATATCCAGTCATTTGTTTCATAGAATCATCCTAGACCAAACATTCCTGCATCATCGCCGAAACTTTCATTTGATCTAAAATGTTTCTGAAGATTGTTGAAAATATATCATTTTGGATGTTTTCATTATTGTCATCAAGTAATATGCAAAAGTTGGCATTGCACTGTGTTATTTTCCATTTGAGAAATTGGGGCCAACTTTAAGAAGTTACTTGAAGCTTTAAATAAATAGAAAATATTTACCTATGCCTAGTTAATGAAAACTGAAGGAATGCTTGATTCAATGAAGTAGCCGCTAATTTCAAGACCTACTTAGGAAATGCTACTTTCTTAAATATCTATGGCTTTATAATACCAACGTACGCCACTTATACATTTTTGAATCAGAATTGAAAAACTATTTTCCCAACCAAAATGCCAATCATCTTAAAGTAGACCTTAAGCCTCACCTTCGAGGTAATAATAGTACATCAAAACGAATGTCAAAGTGGCAAGGAACACCGCCATATTCTGCCAATTAGATTAACGATTATTCTCACTAACCTTCTAGTTTTCTTCCTATTCAATTACTGTGATGTCGTGTATGGACCTTGTGTAACGAACATGGATTGTGGACGAATTTAGAAAACCCAGAAGTCGTTCATATTCGGTATCCGCAAGTTTGACAGGGTATCACAAGGGCTAGATGAAGTTAGTTGGCTCAATCTGCGCTCAAGAAGAAAACTTCATTCAGCATTATTATGTGATTGAATTGTTTCTAATAAAACAAAACTCCGAATACAGGCACAAAAAAACAAGACATTATTGATTTTATGAAGGATAAGGGAATGGAAATACCACAAAAATCAACCAAAGCCATATTATTGGATCTTATTAAAAGACAAAAATTTGAAAAAGAGTATGTTGTTGACAATCTGCTTCAGCAAAATGGCCATGAAGTATTACGTCTACCTCCCTAATACTACATTTTTAACCCGATTGAGTTGGTTTGGGCTGCTTTAAAAAAAAAGTAAGAAAACATAATCAGACCCCTCAATTAAGTGAATCGCTATTGGCCACAATAAGAGATGCAGTATCTCATATTGCTGCCACAGACCTATGGAAGCTGTGTTCTAGGCATATTATTGAAAAAGAAAATGAATATTGTGTTTTGCCTCCTGTAAATCCCGTTGTAATTCCTCTACAAGATGACTCTAGCGACAGCTCCGAAGGCGAGGATGATATATAAATACCTATAATGTAAGTCTTTATATACCTTTTTATATACCTACCTGCTATGTAAATATTTGCCTATGTCAAACGTTGGAATTCTGTAATTTTTCCATTTCTTATCTTTTAGT